AGAAAAGACCGTCGGCGATGGTTGGACTGGTTTTTGTGGTGGTGAACTGGACTTAGGCGGCTGAGCTGGAGGAGGAGAGACCGGTGGTGGTGGCGAGTGGACAGGTGTTGGAGGCGGTGGTGCCGGTGGAGAATACACCGGTGGTGGTGGAGGAGAGTGGACTGGTGGGGGCGGAGAGTGAACCGGCGGTGGAGGAGAGTAAACTGGTGGTGGTGGTGGTGGTGGAGAATACACGGGTGGTGGTGGAGGTGGAGAATAGACTGGAGGTGGTGGTGGTGGTGGAGAATACACGGGTGGTGGTGGAGGTGGAGAATAGACTGGAGGTGGTGGTGAAAAGACCGGCGGTGGAGGAGAATGGACAGGCGGCGGCGGTGGAGAATACACCGGTGGTGGTGGAGGAGAGTGGACTGGTGGGGGCGGAGAGTGAACCGGCGGTGGAGGAGAGTAAACCGGTGGTGGTGGGGGAGAGTGAACAGGTGGGGGCGGAGAGTGAACCGGTGGAGGTGGAGAGTGGACCGGTGGTGGTGGAGAGTGGACTGGTGGTGGTGGAGAAGGAAGTGGTGGAGGAGGTGGCGGAGAGTATACCGGAGCTGGTGGAGGAGGGCTGCGTCGGTTCTTCACTGGAGACTGATCATAAGGATCATCCGGTTGAGGTGACTCTTTCGGTGGTTGTGGTTTGTGAACCGGCGGAACTGGAACCGGCCTAGTTGGAACAGCCGGAGTTGGAACAGGCGATGGTTTGTGAACAGGCGGAGTTGGAACTGACGGAGTCGGAACCGCCGGAGTTGGAACCGGAGATGGTTTGTGTACAGGCGGGGTTGGAACCGGAGATGGATTGTGAACCGGTCGAGTGGGAACCGGCGATGGAGTAGAGGAGCCACCACCAGCGCACTTGTCCTTGCTACAATCAACCGGACGGTTGATCACGACCGCACATTCTTGGGCGGATCGTTGGTTAGGTCGTGTAGGCAAACAATTACGAGTGTCGTCCAATGCAATCTCCTTCTGACTACCACCGGGAACACACGAACCACCTTGTCCATTGAAGTAATTGTAGGAGTAAGTGAAGTTCACCAAATTAGGCAACTTACAAATGTTATCGGCTACAAATCCGGTGAGTTTATTCCCAGAGATATCGAATTCCTCCACAGCCGTTAACCCGACAAAACTAGTAGGTAAACGACCAATGAAAGAGTTCTTGCTCGCGTCGAAAACCGTCACATTCGATAATTTCCCGATTTCAGTCGGGAAACAACCACCCAAACCATTGTCCATGAACACAATCTCGTTAAGATTCTTCATGTTTCCGATACTCTTTGGGATACATCCGGTGAATTTATTGTTAGCAAAAGTCACAACCGAGGCCGGAGATTCTCCTAGAGTCTCGGGAATTACCGAGGTGAATCTATTGTTGTTCAAGAAAATCGCGTCGAGTTCTTTCTTGAAAAGCTCAGGAGGGACTTGACCTTCAAAATCATTGTACCTAAGGTCGAAGTATTTAACATCAGGCCAAGAGAGGGCAACGGTAGGGAAAGGTCCAACAAATCGGTTATTGCTAACATCGAATTCGTGCATCAGCCTCAGCTTCTCTAAGCTTTTAGGTATTATCCCGCAAAACCGGTTTGAATTCAAATGGAACATAGCAACATCCGTCATCAAACCAAGCTCAGCTGGCAAATGTCCTGCGATATCCGCACCATTGAGATCAACACCAGCTACAACCGTTACTTCGGAGTCATCAAGAGCCGGCGCACATACCACGCCCGTGTAACCACAAACGTGCGGGCCATGCCAGTTCCCCGTGGTGTTAAACGGGTCCGAAAATATCGCCTTTTTCCAAGCCTGAAGAGCTATGTAAGCTCTTTTAAGCCTTGTGTTTGCAAATGTAGCCTTAAGATCAACCTCGTATTCAACATCATTAGGAAGCTCGCCGTCTTCAGGTAATGTCAAGAGCTGTCGCTGCACGATGAAGGCAGCTTCTGTATCGGTTAGAGCAAATGAGACAAAG